TTCGTGGTGGTTTAGGCGACGGAATGTGCACCATTTTCTTCTGAAACTCAAAGACAAGGTTTAGTTGGCAAAATCCATCTTGAGAAATTGGTGTTTCCCCTTCCTGTGATAATCTAGAAAATTGAAGGGTGTGCCAAAGCTATTAAGAGGTTAGAAAGAAGAGGAATACAAAGGAAGGATGGGTCATTTTTGGCTCTTGACCTGTGATTTAATTAAAGAGATTTTTATCTCTTCCAATATCCGGCCAGGGGAGCTTCTAATTCCGTGCAAACTGTTTTCAATCCGAACAGAAATCTTCAACTCCAAGTTAGATTTTGAGGAGATCCAAACGTCCCCAGACTTGATAGACTCGAGCAAGTTTGAACGTTCTAATAATTCTGCTGACTCCGAGAGAGAAACTTCTGCCGATGTCACCACTCTAAGCTGGAGTTTCTTATCTTTATAGATATGCATCCTTGAGCCCAATTCAAGATGACTGTGCAACATATCGACAACAAATTTAGGGCTTGAAAGCGAATGGGACAACGAGGCCGTACATCAAGGGCAATGGGGAGAAAAGAGAAATTTGGCCCCGACAGTCTAGAAGTCCAAGTAACATTCCGGTATACTTCAAAAATAGGCAATGGAAACTGTGTATATAGCTTATCCAGGACGGAGAACTGTAGGGGAAAAAAGGGAGGGATGACGTTGACGTAAGGTTTGGTGTCGTGACCCCTCCAGCAAGAGCCGCACCGTCCAGGAACGCATTTGCAGTAATTAACTACTTTATAGAGAATAGACTGCTCCATGCGTTGTGAGAAACAGCCACCTGGTTAATTGTGATTCTTAGTCCGCGTCTTTGAAACCCCAAGCCAACGAAAGAAGAAAAGGGTTTCCTGATCGTCCAAGTAATTAGTTACCGTCGAAGTTTGGTCCATCCTTTAACTAACTGCCTTGGCCGATTGTGCTTGAAACAAGTATCGGTTCCAGGACGATATCAGTGTGTGGCACGGAAAAGACAAGGAAACATAGGAGCTTCCAAGGATTAGATCACACATCCTTTGGAAGCTCTGAGACGATCAGCAAAGGAGGAGATGAATGGGAGGATTAGGAGGAACAGTTTGCTACGCCATGGCTATCGTATTTCACGGTTTCAGCTCTAACTTGGCAACTCGTGAATATTTAGCACGTGATGTTAGTTCGTCATAACTTCAATTAGCCAAACCATCAAAACTCCTTAACCACAACAAGTTCCACACTTCGCTATGCCCAGAGGTGATAGATCTGCTGTTCGCAAGACCAAAGCAAATGAAGCGGATGGGGAGGAAGCTAGCTCCCTCCTTTCTTTCAACGATGACGACCCGTTAATGCACCCTATTCCTTCGCAATCATCTCCGCAGTCTCCGCTCTCCTCCAAACCCGATGCCTCCCCGATCTCAGTACGACCTTCCAATGGCCAGACACAAATCCCAAGAACTCCAAACCGAGTTCGATTTGTTTTAGACGATGATATGGAGGAGGAAGAGGACCGAAATGGTCATAATGGCCATCCATCTTCAGTGCTTGAGGAGGAGGATTATATGAATGCCAATGCGTCCCGATCACGAAGCAGTACCGGCCAACTTACCCCTCTGCTCACGGATTTCGAAGCGCCAACTGTCACTTTGGCTATTTCGGATGATTTCTTCCTTGAGAATCATTTGGAAAATATGCACCCTAAGAGCGGACTAAAGAACGCCTTTATGAATATGGCGAACAGCATAATTGGCGCGGGGATTATTGGACAGCCTTACGCATTCCGACAAGCGGGTTTACTAATAGGCTTTATACTTCTTTTCGGTCTTACCATCACCGTTGACTGGACTATCCGCCTTATTGTCATTAACTCGAAACTGAGCGGCGCGGATTCATTCCAAGCAACAGTAGAGTTTTGCTTTGGAAGACCTGGCTTAATAGCAATATCCATTGCACAATGGGCATTTGCATTCGGAGGCATGGTGGCATTCTGTATCATTATTGGAGATACAATTCCACATGTTTTCGCATCAACTTTTCCTAAACTGAAGGATATGCCCTTTTTGTGGCTTTTGACCGATCGGCGAGCCATCATTGTCCTATTTGTTTTGGGCGTTTCATATCCTTTATCTCTTTATCGGGATATCGCAAAGGTAAGTGCACTTCTTCCTCTTTTTTTTTTTTTTTTTTTTTTTTTTTTTTTTTTTTTTGACACTTGGCTAATTGTATAGCAGCTGGCAAAGGCATCGACCTTTGCACTGATCTCCATGGTTGTGATCGTGGTGACTGTGATTGTTGAAGGGATCCAGGTAGCCGACGATTTGAGAGGTGATCCATCACACCTCATTTTTATGCAGGGCAATGGTTTTTTCCAAGCCGTTGGTGTCATATCATTCGGTAAACTTAAATATATCTTCAAGACGTGGAACCGTATGCTAACCTATATATTTAGCTTTCGTTTGCCGTATGATAGGTTTCAAATCCCTCTACTTCTATACTCTTATAAACTAACATTCTCCCCAGATCACAACAGCCTCCTTATATATGGCTCTCTGAAAAAGCCCACCTTGGACCGGTTTGCACTCGTAACACACTTCTCGACGGGTGTCTCAATGATAATGTGCCTTGTTATGGCATTCGCAGGTTTTTTTACATTTGGAGATAAAACAAAAGGCAACATTTTGAATAATTTCCCATCTGATAATGCTATGGTAAACGCTGCAAGACTGTGAGTTCTTATCTAACCTGAGATAATATAATAAAAGAGTTTGTTGCTAATTAACTACCTAGCTGCTTTGGCTTGAACATGCTTGCTACGTTACCGCTGGAAGCGTTTGTCTGCCGTTCTGTAATGACGACCTTCTTTTTTCCTGACGAGCCTTACAATCCCGCCCGGCATGTTATTTTCACTTCATCGCTAGTTGCCACATCTGTGATCATATCTCTACTTACCTGCGACTTGGGCGCGGTGTTTGAACTCATCGGAGCTACAAGTGCATGTGCCTTGGCGTATATACTACCTCCGCTCTGCTACATTAAATTAAGTCGTGGCCATTGGAAGGAAAAAATTCCAGCGTACGCATGTATTCTATTCGGTGTTGTGGTCTTGTGTACCAGTCTTGTGCAAGTGATCATAAAGATTATTAAAGGTAGGTTTCCAACCTCCTACCTCCTGCCATAGGATTGCGCACTCTAACTCGTGGATTTTTTCAACTTACAGATGAAGGCGGAAAAAAAAAATGTTAAACCCACCTTTGTGTTGAGAATGATATTCTGGCTCGGATTTGGGTATGTAATGTTATTTTTTAATTTTTTTTAGAAACATGGAACCCAGTGATCATTGCACCTTGCCTCCAAGTGTTTCTGTGATTCTGGGTTGAGTCTAACTGTCCGACTATCAGTATATTTTTCATATCTATGTACAGTACAAATAGTTTTCATAATTCTACCGCACAGCTTATTTTTCTCGCAAGACGAGTGACTTCGAAAGGTGTGCATCTCAAGATTTTCTTTCCAAGATGGGTTCGACGTATATCACGGACACGAAACGTCCAAAGCTCTTACATGCGACGTTTTCTCAGTCCTTCTGCAAATATCTTCTCTCACTGATGGCACCCATAAATCTCCACAAAATGGCTAACAGAATTATTACCGAGCAGTTTTGCGAGACCGTCACGCTCGACTCTTGGCACAACTTGGTCTTCAGTCACTGGGGGAGTTCGCTGGACGTTACGCTGGCCGTCGTTTTTAATTTGCAAGGCCCTTTTCAGAAATTCTCAACGTGTTGTTCGAGAATATGAGTCGCTCTGAATGTTTGCTCCGTGAAAATCTTCCTGATCTGCTTTGAACCCTTTCCCTCTTAACTTTGGAGATATACCTCAAGTTTGCCTTGTGCCTTTACCATATATGCATGATCAGTCTAGATACCCTATGGTACTGTTGCTATTTACAGTGCAATGTTCAAACATGTTGCCGAGATTTGGAGTTTATGGTGCCTGCCGACATTAGCATGCTCCTATTTTTAATGTAAGATACCCTTTTTGCCGTACATTCTCCTGCGGCAATGTTGTACCCGCAAATCGCTTCCGAAAAGTAAAGTACTTTTTGGTAACTCCTCTCACGACCAGGTGCATTGGGTATAGTTAGTAAAAAAAACCCTTGGGAATTCTTCGCTGAATTCCGTGCCCCTCAGGGTCATAATTTCTATAGTGATGCATCCGTACAACATATATCAAGCATAACTACGCAATCATATCCTCTGAGTTACTCTTTACCGGAATATGTTCCGTTAAGTCATGGAAATTCAAATGATGGCTGCATGAAGTTATCCTGCAGCTTTATGAGTATAACTGCACATATTGCTCATACAAAGAAACGCTCAGTTTTATCTGTCATCTGGAGAAATAGTCAGATAACAGGTTCATGATAGTTTGTTTCATTAACTTTAATCAAAGCATCTTGCATTGATTTGGTTTTGTGGATATTTACTCTCTGTGTGGATTTTCTGTTTCATATTTTGACCCCTTTTGTTGAAATCAATCTACTTTTCTCCTTTTTTAGGATTGATGTCATTGCAGCATGGAACAACCGGGATGGGGCTTCTTCCTGTTGCTTAATATTTATCCTGGTTGCTGAGGTACAGTCTGTCATGTTATTATTGTTGAAAATTCTCCTAAGTCTCAGCAACCGCATCAAGCTTGTTTTGTTCATCATAATCTGCAGAGAATATCATCGAGTGCAAACTTCTTTTCTTTTGCTGAAAGTTACAATCATCCACCATCGCCTCTAGCCTTTCCAACCTTCTACAGCAGTTGGCTTCTAAACACGACTTTGTCTCAATTTATGTTGATTTCGTCAAAATAAGCGGAAAGCTAACCCGTTGGGACCTGTCATTATCTCTCTACAGATTCCGTCTTCGAAGGATAGGTTTCAGTACGTGTTCCCTTGATATCCTTCAAGGAATCAATCCCGTTTTACGCGAACTGGCTCTAACCAACACCAAAGTTATGGATGAAGATGAGGGGCAGAAGCGTATGCAAGAGCTCCAAATGGTATATCACATTCACTCACCTAAATATTTTTCAGTTTAGCTTTGCGATTGGCTATCTACCTATACTTACACCAAATATAACCATCAAGGCCGATCTGGGCACTGCACGGCGTGAATACATCTCAACCATTGATGCCCCCAACAAGTTCCGCCATGTTGGACTGGACCAAATTGAAGCAATTTCGGCAATTAATGTGAAAGGTTCTGAAGTTCACCGGATGACCAAGGAGAAAAAAGATCTGCTGAATGCCTGGAACAGTACGTCATCAATTTTTTTTTTTTTTTTTTTTTTTTTTTTTGCCCTTTCCTATGTTTCAGCTGATTCTAATGCACAGATGCCCACCAAATAATCGGCGGAGATGTGGAGTTAGAAGACTTGGGTGACATGATGTCCGGACAGAGCCATCGTGTCCAACTCTGCGACACGATTATAGCAAAAGGCGACCAGAAATATATTCAAACTCCCAATTACCTTCCAAAGGACGATGTAAAGAGTAAACAATCCGCTAGAGTTTCCAAAGAAGGCGGTCGAGGAGTTGTCACCGGAACCCGTGGCCGCAGCAAATTTCCAAAGCCACCACTGTGAATATACTCTCAGTCCCCTGAATTCTGTTTCTGTATAGTCACTTATATATTAGTGCCACCCACCCTGCATTTTTACCACTTAAATTTGGTGCTGTCGGTAGTAATGTCGCCGAAAGTTCCCTAAACCGGCGCCGATACTTAGACCCTACGCTACGCCATGACGGAGATGAAAACACTCCCGTAAAGAAGGACAACTTTGAGAACGTCGCTGCTAATCCACCATTCACCAAGGTTGATAGAAATTCTCATGCACGGAACCGTGCTACGGCTGTCAGAAATAGACGAGTGGTTGATCCAGAGTAAGTTGGAAGATTGTTTACCATAACTGACTCCAGTATACTACAAGTCCCAACTTTAAGCGATGCTTGCCGGTCCATCGGACTTCATGGCAATGGCGAAAGCACATAACATTGCTGGATGTTCAGGTATCCCCAAGGACTCCCAAAATGCCGCAACCCAATATGTGGCCTTAGCAGTTCACCCAAAACACGACATCACCAAGGAAGGAATTCCTAATCAGGAACGAGTTACTATTAAAGGAGAAATGGTCTTGGAAGGAATATCTAAACCTCCAGCAAATACAGATGTCGGGGCTGCGATGGCGGAGGATCCGCATGAAAAGCTCGTATGGTATTTGAGCAGCCCTCTAAGTCAATAGCAGCACACCTTTGCGCTATTCATGTATTTAGACTTCCCTCCGGCAGCATTGGAAGTGAGTCGGCCAACTTAGGCGAACTAAAGGTAGATAAAGGGTTTAGATCAAGTCTTCCCAGACCATGCCTCACCCCAGACCAGTCAACACTGCTCGTAGATCTGGTACGCAAAGGTCAACCCATATCCGGTCCAGGATCTCCGCTACATACTCGAATTAGTGATTCGGGAAATATACTGGCTCTTGAAGCATCTTTTCTGGATAGTACGCCTCCAGCTATATCAGCATTCGTGTGCCACAAGTGCCAGCTAGCGCAACTAGCTAAGGCTAAGGCAAAATCGTAGACGACAGAACCAACAATGTTGCTATGGAGAATACATTCGACCTCCTTATCGATAGGCTACGAAAGGAACTGGATCATGTCAATCAAATCATTGAGGACGGTTCCAAACCTGTTGAGTCAACTGGTATAGGAATATATCTGCTAGGTCGCAGACAGGAACTGGAAAAGGAGATGGCAGAAGTTATCGAGATGTAGACCGATATTGTGACCCCCCTCACCACACTTAGCTTGGGGGATACTCACTCTCAGTGGCCCGAGGAGGAAGCATCTAAAGGAGTACGGCTCGATTCTGGCGTGCCCAAGAGATGGTGATGGTGCCGGAAGCGCCGACGCCTCCCGGGGATCGAAAACAGGAAACTCCCCTCTCTCCTAACTTCGGCTGTTAGAATTTATCATCGGAACCCCCAACAAATGTACCCAACAGGCCTCATTCTTTACGAGTCACATGCCTCCCATTCATACACCCTTCTCTAATCACCACTTCAGCGTATGATATTATAGGCAACCATTTCTACCAGGGAGATGTTCCCCTAACAATGAGTCAAATATAGCAACCGCAAAGATGATAAGTGGTGGTGGCAGCATTCGTTTCCCTTCCCTGCCTTCAACGATTCTGTTATAGAGGAACCAGTGTCTGTCCCACAGGCCGTAGTCCCAGCTAATCAGAACATCTCACCTCATCGATTTCGCTACGCTTCATATCTTTGATAATCCGATAACATGTCAATATATGAAACACGCTCCTAGTCTGCCCAAGATTTCCCATGATCAGTGGAATATACATGCATCTCCACAAAAAAACATTGCTTCTTCTGCTGCGACACAGCAATATTCTAAGGTTTTGCATCATTCCCTTGAGCATGGTAGTCCTCCAAACTGTCCCATCAATAATGCCACCGTAAACTGCGTGGTAGCATCAACTCAATTCCAAAATGGTGTACAGAGCCTTCACCCCCCTTTTCTCGCAATGTCAGTAGTCCCACAGCAACCCAGCGAAGAGCCCAATCGTGTGGAACTGGGGTCAAAGCATAATTTCCAACATCAGCTGCAACGATGCAGTATTCTGGAGCACTATTTAAACTCCAGGAAGAACAAATTACATCTCAGTCTCCCAGCACCCCAGCTCCGCAGAATCTCTTTAGCGTGCCGGATAAGCCCACTCCATCGTCATTAGTTCCAAACTTCCAGTATCTACGGCGACTCTAAAATGCTCTGGGGCCTTACCCAATGCCAGTATCCAAGTAATGAAGCCTCAGCTCCCAACTGGACAGGAAAACTGCAACAATCCCTACACGGCGGGAGCCACACATAAGGGTTCCGACATAAAATTTATTTGCCACGAGGTGATGGTTTGCAGGCCTCCAAGTGGGCTACGCCAGAAGGAACACCCACGTTGCCTAGTCATAAATGTAGGAGACACGAAATACCACGACCGGATATGTTTGCGAAGGAAATGGCGAAGTATGGTGTTAAAGAATCCAAACACACGACGGAATCCAACCCCAGCAGTAGTCCGCCAAAGCCCAAGGACTTGTCCGGCCTTACGCCCTCAAAGTGGGCGAGCTAAATGAACTCCAGTTCCTTCTTCCTGCGGTAATAAATGGTTCGAAAATGCGAGCTTTGATGGTAGGCCTAGGAATGCTTCCTTACCGCGAGTTGTCACCATTACTTTTGTATATCGGAGCAGCGGGTGGTTTTGTGGGAAAGCACTTGCGAAATTGACAAAAGTGTGTCAATTTCACATTTCTCCCTATGGGTTTTCTCTTCCTTTCCTCTTTCCAACGTCTGTGACTTTGCATTCCAGAGGATGTCTGTTTTGCTCGATCAAGCCCCTTTCTCACCACCCATCCCCCAATCCCCCCAAAAATGGAAAAAGAAAAAGAAAGGTAGCCTGAATTCCATTCCACACGCTGCAGGTTGCAACCTGCTCGACCTTTCCTTGGTGTATTTCATTACTCAGGTGACATAATACAGTATCCCCGTGGCCGCTCTTTGCATATCTTGGGTATAAAGCATTGCTCTGGTAAGTGTTATCGGCCTTCTTAAAAATACTTGAGCATTTATTTCTTGAGAATCCAATTCATGCACGAAGCATAATTCCGATCAGTTCCCTAGCATTCCCGCAAAACGTCATGTTTCACTAAACTTTGCGAGTTTTCAGTTTTCCGAATTTATGCTAAAATGGCTTAAATAGCAAACAGGTTTGCTTGCTAGCCTAAATAAATTACTTAGAGTATAGATTATAAAAGTTATATAATATATATAATAATAATAATAATAATAATAATAATAATGAATATTTAAAATAAATATATTTATATCCCTATAGTTATCCCGATCTAACAGTACATATTATTATTTATATTACCAAGGTAATTTAATTAACATCTTAGCAGGTACAGAATTAGAATCTCGGACAGAATGTCAATATCGGGGAATCGTAATGATTTTATCGGAGAGTATTTGCACTCGAAAGGGCTAAGATGAATATTAAATAATCGGACATAGTACGATAAGGTTGTATGTCTAAATAAATATCTAATTAAATTTCGCTACAAATTATATAATAAAATAAAAAAAATAAATATATAGGAGGTAATTTATTAAATTTCCTTGTAATTTACCCCATTTGCATATAAAACATTACTGTTTTAAGGAGCTCAAATGAACTCAACGATATCTTGACCTATTCAGGGTATAGCGCTCATTAAAGGAGGGAGAGATAAGGTTTAGTTGGGTCAATAGATGTTGGTTAGGAATGGGAGCTCCAAAATCAAAATACGTAAAACCGTACAATGTGTTTAACTATTCGTCAGGAATGTAAGCACGAACTATATATAAATATATGAACAATGAAAATATTGAAACAACTGCGACCACTCTCCTTGTAGGTCCAAGTCTCCCAAAGATTGGCAATGAAAAGAGAAACAGAAAACGGGAAGGAACACGATTGGTGACAAAAGGGGGAAAAATAGAAGCTATGTTCCATTTTGCTAATACCAAACCATAATATATATAAGATCCCATCCTATACTCCGCCTTGCCCAGTATTTCCTTTTACTGAAGAACGAAAATGTTGGCCAGGGGTGAAACAGACAAATGTCTCGTAATGCGTACAATAAAAATGAGTGAGGCAAAATTGCGCAAGTATGTATTTAATACTCGTAAGGCCTGCGGAAAGGAAACATCGTTCGGCTTGGATGAATGATTCGTAGATATTCATGTTATTGTTGCGGTTGTTGCCGTTATTAGGCAGTGGTGGAATTGGAAACATTGTTTCCGTCGCCGACTTTGGATTTTTTCATTAGATCATTACATCCTTCGCTGCCTCCAACGTTCGTTAGATCAGTGAGAGGTGGCCTCTTTCCATTTATGTTTTGAGCCTGGGAGGGATTCATTGAGGGATTTGCTGCAGGTGAAAGACCGGCAGCGGCACTTCTTGTCATAACTTTTCGTATTGGTGGTAGATACGAACTCGTCGTCGTAGGTCCCCTAACTGTTGGGGGAACGAATCTGTTACCGTTACCACCAATAGGGCCGGGGGTTGGTCCACGTTTTGTCAAGTCATGGCCATTGTTGTTTGCTCCATGAGAAGTTTGAGCTTGGCTAGCTGACGGAACAGTTTTGCCACCAGCATCTGTAAACTGTAGAGAGTTGATGCCAACTGCGGCGCGCAAAACCGGAGCTGAGGTATTGTGATTAATTCCCGCCGTCTTTCGTATGGAGGGGCTGTCGAAATGTGGATCAAAAGCTGGAGCTGACTTGATTGCAGCGTACGGGTTAACCCTTAACTCGTCAGCTGCACGAGCAGAGTAGAACCCGCCAGCTGGATCCTGAGGGCGTTTGTCTTCAGGAATCTGAGAGGCAAAAGGCGATGGGGATGATGCTTTGGTTGGGGAAGCGTTTCCGTTATCCTTCGGGCCACCGTCGGATTCCTCTTTTAGTTGATCGCTTGGGAGAGGGAGGGGAAGATTTGGAGTGCGATTTGGTTGTTGAGAGGGTATAGGTATAGCATCTTTTCGTGGAAATGATTGAAGCCCTGGGCCAGAAGGTGTTCTGAAATTTGATTGAGGATAATGATTTGTAGAAGTCTGAGGGAGGGAGGGTCTATTTAATCGCTCTCCAGGAATGGGAGGGAGATCTGGTTGTGCGGCGGAAGCAGAGCCAGCTGCCCATGATCTATCTTGCTTTGAGGGCGTGACGGTTTGATTGGAAGGTCTTGTTATGTTTTCTGGAATATTCTTCCGGGACTCATGCGAAATCGCAGGAATTTGTTGTGGATTCCGTTGAAATTGCTCAGCTTGTTCTGGATCTGTTGACACTTCATCGGGATGAACACTGTGCGATTCTCCAAAATCCGCCTCGTCAAACAAATCACCTGTTTAGGATTAGGATAATAGATCAGTGCCAAGTTGACATGAGACTTACTTCCAAATTCACACTCCAGCTCTAATGGAAGTGTCTCATCTACTTTAACACTAGGGGGATCAGGTAATCGAGGTGGAAGTTCAGCACCCGCTGTGAGTGACTGATCGGAAGCACCAGTGGTGGTAGGATTGATAGGATTGGTCTCCTTTTTAACGACAGTGTGGTCTGCGTGACGATGTAAATCTCCTACATCCCATTTTGACTAGAGATAATTCAGTACTTGGCTAGGAAGCTGGGGGAAAAAATAACCTTGCAACTGACAGGAACAGCCTTCACTTTCGTAATCCGGCTTAAGTATTCCTTATCATAGACACAATTCCCGAGAACATTGCCAAAGGTCCTTAACGCCCGTTTCAAACCATCTGTTGTCCCTTCTTTCTTTGCTTTCTCAAACGCTAGTGCTTTCGATTTCGAGTTCTCACAGTGTCCGTATCCAATATCCTTGTGTCCAATATTAGTACGTAGTGGCGGACCACAACCCATTAAAAAAAACAAACCTCATGAAATGTCCCATCCTTCAGCGTCACTCTCACAATCACAGACAATCCCAAGCTAATTTTTGCCGTATTCGGGTTCTCATCGACCTGGTGAAATGAATATACAGAATCAGCAACCTAGTGGTTCGTGTACCTATGCCTCAAACTCCCTCAACACTTATCCGTCGGCATCCCAAAATCAACTCACAAAATCAATTTGAATATTTTGGATGGAGCTAGACCACCCATTAAAGCCAAAAACTTCGTTCGCAAGATTGATGCACTTCTCCGCAGCTAGATAATGCACCTTCTGTCCGCCGGGGCCCTGTCTGGAAGAGATATATTCGGGGCCTAATCGTTTATCGAGACGAATTTGCAGCGTGGAAATTTGTTGAGCAGTGTATTGGTTTAACCGATGTTCAGGAGCTTCGAAAGGATTCGTTGTGATGTTCCCGACAGTTGATGGATACATTTTGGAAGGGCCAGGCCGATGTTGGTCACCTACGCTTCAAATTCCGATGTAGTGTAAATAATTGGATTCAACAAAAGCTACTTCAAACGTAGGTGGATATCATGAGGCTTACGCTGGCATGTCCGTGATTCAACCCTAAACACATAAGCCACCTGGTACTCTGCCTAGTCCAAAAAATGTGGGATGTTCCTAGGTAATGGGGAAGATGTTATAGGCGAGGTTGGTTAAGCAGGTTGGTTTGACGGCCCCGGTTTGGGAGACGCGTTCGACGCGTCTGTTGCGCTGAAACGGTGCCCTGTTCACGTGATATCAGAATCGTCCCTATGGCAGGGCCCCGGTATACCACTCTTGTTCCAACGACCAATGCTTGTTTTGTTTTATTTAAAGCTTCATTTTACATTCCGTCATACTCTCGCTGCTGCTAATCGGGTCATGATTCATCTCCATTGCTATCAGACAGACTGTGAAAATGCTTGTTTTGAGCTAAGCTGACTGACACTTTCTACTCTGAATCACCGCCTTTAACAATCCTTCAAAACCCCCAAAAGAAATACGACCCGGTTAATCTATAAATTCCCTCTCAAAATACAAGAGCATGGTTGTTATTCAGTATCTAACAAATAAATGACTTCAAACTTCTTTCGGCAGCACGATCACCTCATGAGCTTGATGGGACCCTCCAATCGCTGGGTAGATTCATTCTAACTCAAGACTATGTTACAATGATGCTGAAAACGTAAAGCAACCTATTCTAACGTCAGTGGAGAGTAAATTTCAATGAATTCAACTCTACTCAGCTGTTTTCACATGTCCGGTCTTTGCCAGAAGTCATTTCCTGAGACATGGCGCGTGCATCAACGACATGGATGGTCGCGCGTGCGGTACATACTCGAAACCGGCCAGACAGCTACCTCGAATGGTAAACCTGAAATGCACTGAGGAACTTGAAGTGCTAGAGGAATTATTGAGCATGGGTGTGTTTCCATTTGGCTGTTCGGAGATGAGCTGGCAAAGATCCAATGTTGACTAAAACTTCATTGTATTTATTTCTCATCATTCAATATTAGATCCTGTGAGGTGACCTATGCTTAAAATGGTGTTTGAATATCCATGGATGAACAATATTGGACAATTTGGACTCCCTAGGTGATAGATATGGGTAGAGTTGATAAGGTGTATAAAGGAAGCGAGAGAGTTCATAAAAGACAGGGAGCAGCATAGAGCGCTCCCACTGCTTCCCAACACTGCAATTGTGGACGTATAATTGGCAAGCCGCCTCAAAAATCTCGCTTTTGCAGCTAGAGATTTAAAGACTTGTCAAATCATCAATGGAGGGGGATTTTCTAGCTCCTTCTTAGTCGTTATGCCAGATCCGTTACTCTCAGTTCTCCTTAAACGTGTAGACCTTCTCAGGCCGACCAAGCAACAAGGAAAAGATAAGGAAATTAAATCACAACGGAGTTGTTTTTTTTTTTTTAAATAATAATAATAATAATAATAAATAATTAAATAAAAAAGAAAGGAAAGAAGGAAGAAAAGCACCTATTTCACGATCAAGTTCGCACTAGGAATTAGCCCAAGTTCCTTCAACGTCTCCCCAAACGATTCCTCATTGTACACCTTCCAAGGGAAGTTCTGCGTAAAACTTTGAACTTCCATGTCACCCTCCTGAGACAGTGCAGCCGCCACCTCGAACAAAGTCGTGTCAACAGGGAACGTCTTGATAACATTTCCCTTCGGCGTCTGTAATCGTAGTCTACATTCTGTATACGCCGAAGCCGGTTTCGACGTCGCGGGAACAAGCGGGGTTGTAACCGCAGCTGCTGGTGGCGGCGTCCTACCTTCCCGCTCAGCTTTTTCTCTCGCAGCACGCTGCCGTCTTTCCTCCTTATCGGCTTCGATCTTTGCGATTGCACGCATCCTGGCTTCTATTTCATTTTGTCTTTCCCGTCGTTTTTCTGCTGCTTCTTTCAAACGCTCTTTCTTCTGGAGTTCCTCCTTGATATCTTGCGTTTCCTTTGTGGATTTTTTGCGTATTTCCTATAATTCCTTGTTAAGAAGTATCCCCGCGATACACAGCGGGGAAGTCCAACAAATATCCGTTAGTGAAGAGGGCTTCCGCCATAGTTGAATCAGATTTATGCCATTTGTCTTATTACAGCACTAACCTCATTTCTCTTGTGATTAATCTTATCCTGCTCCGACATTTGCGCCCGCTTTTGCAGCTAACTTCTCCCTCAATTCTGACAATTTGGGCCCTTTTCTCCTCCTCCGTCAACGGGGCGATTTTCCTCCGTCGATTCCGAAAAGTCAACATTGCTCCGTCTTCGATGCGTGGAAATTCAGCTTGGGCCTGGCTGCGAAACTTCTTTCCCACACTTCGTTGCAGACAAGGGCTTCTTTGCTTCTCTCGCCTGGTTTTAGGGGCAGGGGGTTCGTCTGGGTTCATGGGTTACGTCTTTCTTCGAGGAGGATGGGAAGCTTTGGATTTTCATCGAGA